GCACTAATGTGTTTGCCTCAAACTGCAGGCACGTAGCATCAGGGGGGAGGGCAGAGGCGGCCTGCCTCCTCCCCCCTTTTTTTCGAAACATAACTTTTTACTATTGAAAATGTTCATGAAAGTTGAACCCACCCCCACCCCACGAAATAGGATTTTTGAGTTTTGGAAAATAAATTTTCTTTGGCTTGTCAAGTTTTTTCAGGTAAGTTGAAATTTTTTTCTCTGGCTGCCCCCCCCCCCCCCCTCCCCACTTTCAAAAACGTTGCTACATCCCTGAAATGTGCTCTGACTGCTCTCCTTCATATTCTGGTAACCAGGGAAGAAGCACACATTTAAATCAAACATAAAATGCTCAGGTGAACATGCAGCCCATATGGGCCTATTATGTAAATCAGGTGCGGATCCAGGAATTTTTTCCAGGGGGATCCAACCCAGAAATTTCTTGGCAAGCAAAAAAAAAAAAAAAAACAAAACAAAACAAAAAAAAAAAAACAAAAAAAATGAAAACAAAAACACTTAAACTCCTCTCCCAAATGTGAAAACCTATTTCATGGTAGTGGAAGTGGTGGTAGGGGGGGGGGGGGAGAGAGTGAGGGTTTGGCCGTTCACTTTTTAAGCTTCATATGTATAACTTTTCATACCAACTTAACAGGGGTCCGTGTTTTTTAGGGGGGGGGGTGTTACAAGGTCACTTTTTTATGTAGTTGCTTTCGTATATGGGTTCCGGACCCCCCCCCCCCCCCAGATCCGCGCATGTTAATATTTCATTACCAGTCTTATATTACCTAATGTAAATTCTGATAAAGAGAGAATTTTTGAAAGATTTGTGTAAAAAATTTTATTACAACAGGTGATGAATTGTAATTGGGATTATAACCTAAACATTAAGTATACTGCACTCTTTTCGTCAACTTCTGGTTATGCGAGAAAAACTACAGAATTTGAGCATTAAACTTTTCCATTAATTTCATTGATGCACCTAATTGATTTTCCCTTTATTCCTCCATGAGCAGTCGATGAACCAATCTCGCACACACATGGGGCCTTCTGAAGATTTATTAGTAGGTTATGGACAGTGCTCTCACTATCATTCAACTAATAGGCTATCTTATATCGACGATCTACAGTGACAGCGTCTTTTGCCATTGCCAGTAGCTGTTTGTTCTACACGGGAACCCGATCAAAAAGCTTCCGCTTTGAAAACTCTCATTTCACTTGTGTACTAAAGATCTAGTGATATTTAAATATTTTTTTCTTCTGTAGTCATTTAAAGTTTCTTAGGGCGTCATTACGACATCTAAATCAAACCCAACTGCTCTCCGGTGCGCCGTAACGTCGCCATTTTTTAATTCGTATGTTGCGTTTACCATTTTCCCACTTTAAATGCTCGGGAAACTGCCAAAAATTAAGCAAATGCCTTGATATTTTAAGAAAGACGAAATAATAGTTAGTGGATTAAAAATAGGATAATTTTTACCCCAACCTTATCTATTTAATACTTTTATTTCAAAATAATACTCGTGTATTCGCTAATGAAACCATGGGGTTTTTGATCGTGCGCCGTAGAATATTGACCGGGGATCATTTGTCTACGTAGAAATTTGCCCTCCCCCCCCCCCTGGTCAATATTCTACATAGAAAAATGACCCACTTTTTTGTAGGAATTTTTTCCCCCTGTGGATTGTAGAATAATGACCCTGTGTCATTTTTTGATTGCAGAAAGAAAAAAAACTGCATGGTTTTGGTAGGATAATTGATGTAAGGTAAATACACAAGGGTTAAATCACGCAGCCTTATGATATGAAATGTTCATTTCTAAGAGCTTTAAAGTTTAAACGACAAAAGGTTATACTATACTTTACATTAATAATACAAGATCTTTTATCACCATTAAAGGAGAGCCTAACAAGGTTATAATGATGTTCTATCACTATTAGAGCAAGAATACATGTACGTACATTCTTTGATTTGTTTTGTCACAATTAATAAAATAAGTTTCCACAGTTGTAATCATTTTAAAAATAAAGATCATTTTCTTAGCCTGTGTAAGAAAGGGACACATAAAAATAAAAAAATTTATAGCTTCCATAATTGTAATCCTCTTTGATTTTACTCTGGAAAAATAATGTGCAACAAATAAGAAATATAATTAGTCTTCCTTTTTTCTTAAGAAGGTATAAGAAAGGTTAACAATTTGGAATCCTACTCAAATAAAGCTTCACTTCTATATGAATAGGGATTCTACCTATAGGGCTGGGATTAGTTTTTGTCTGTACAAAAAGCTTGTCGATTCCCGTTCCAGTTATTGACTTTAGGCTAAATGCATGTAATAAATTGATTTTCATAAATCATTTCCGTGGATTTAATAAAGACATGCCATTAATGAACATGGATTCGAATTATATAAAGGAAATCCAAAGGGATTGCAGTTATTGATATGTAGCCCTACTGTTTCAAAACTTAAGATCTGCTTAAGAATATTGACTCAGTACAAAAGTACATGTATGTTATTCTAAATATTTTAAGCTCAAAGAATACAAGCAGTACGTAACATAGTAACCCAGGCAAGCATTACAGACGGAAGGAATTTTTAAAGCAATGTGATTAAATTCTAAGGAATGTATACAACTGAAATCCATCGCAGCTCCTTGCAGCCGAGAATACCTGTATCGAGTTACACTGAGTGAGATATTATTGTCCTCGAAGAAAGTGTGCTATACTGAGGTATTGTTCCGCTTGACTGTGTTTAAGGTACATTGGAATGTTACGATTAGCTCACTCTTTAGTGTGTCTTATATCAAGAATGGGAATGCATAAAGGATAGATAATCGAAGGAAATACACAAACCTATTAAAAAAAATTAAAATAGTCTTTGAAAATGCGAAAATTTAGAATTATAAAAAATGTGGCACCAGGTGGATTCGAACCCCCGATTTAAAAAAAAAAGTACTTATGGTGTGATTAGTCAGCTCTTATACCAATTGAGCTATTCCGACTGTACGCATAAAATGTATAAATATGAACCAGATTATCAAAATCAACTTTCATTATTTTTTGTAGGTTTTTGTTAATTTCGACCCTAGGGCAGGGGTATCCCTAAAAGTCATATCTTAAATTATTCCTTAATCACAACCTACCAAAATATCGCAATTTTATTTAGGGGCAGGCCTGCCCTGAAGGACTTCTATGCCAAAATTCATGCAAAAGTCGGCGCTTTAATGGACAAAATACTGTTTTGGCCAACTTTGGATTTTTATTCTTAAGTCGTAAATAATAAGTTTTACGTGAAAATACAAATTCGAAAAAAATAGACATTTATACGGAAGAAAACAACTAATAAACATTGATTTTTAAATGTTACTTTTTCCAAGAAATTGTTCTATAACTATGGGCCTATTCTATTGAAACTTTGAATACAACCTTTGCGTAACAAAATGGAAGACTGATAAGAAAATTCGATCTCGTAAATATCTTTGATTTTCTATTAATAAAGTCTCAAACGTTTTCTCATAAAAATATAGGGAAGATTTATAATACATTTGTGAAAAAATAAAATAATACAAAACTTAATCAACATGCTTATGACCTTCGATATCAGGGGAACAAAAAGTGATTAGCTCCAAATCTTCACCAAATTGATGTTTTTTATCGCTTGTTAGTGTCAACAAAGTCTTTAAGAAAATGAGTTTTTACATAAAAAAAAAATGATTGCTTTAAAAAAGAGGTGTTTGGTATACCAAGAATTTACAAAAGTTTACACACGGTAGTATCGTCTTTTCCCTTTCTAGTTACATGTAAAAAAAAAATTACCAATAGAAAAAAAAAAACAGAATGTTGCATTATGAAAAAAGCTTCCCAGTCTAATTTACATAATTTCTTCCTGAGTATGATTGGAAATATGAGCACATTTGAAATTGTGTGTGCAAAAAAATATAGAACTGTACAAAAACGTATTGTAACAAATTGTGTTAGAATCAAGTACCATGCGAGATTCGTATAAACGTATCTATAGTGGCGAGTTTTGAAAGGGTTACGGGGTTGTAGCCCACTCATTAAATTTGCTAGTAGCCTACTGGAAAAAAAATCCTTTCTGGCCATGTACGTCTTTCCTATAAATAAATTAAGCGTTCGTGCTGTCTGAAACGAGGTTTAAAAATATAAAAGGGTTTTTAGGATAAAAGTGAAAAGAAAACTTTTCCTTTCACCGAAAATCCTCTTATAAGGATTTTATTTATATAATGCGTATGTGCATTGTAATGCAGGTTGTTTTGAATTCATTGAGATTTACAAATTTTATCTTTTTAACGCAACATGACTTGAGGACGGCGGTATGCGCGACAGAGGCAATGTTTTAACAATTTCTAAACACACATTTTGAATGGCTCTACTGCTTAATTGAGTGATTGTAATTTTCCCAGAAGCATGGCTCAGGCCTGTTATAAGGTGAACATTTACTCAAATTACACTGATGGCCCAACGGTAAATCATTTAACACTATCCATTCAAAAGCTATAGGTTAGAAGAGTAGAATCATGCAACAAGAAAAAGTTACATGTTAACAGTACGCATTTGAATAAAGCAGCAGACGAACATTCATATGCACTGAGAAAATATGACATACCGGGTAATCCGTAGAACAACGAGGGAATCATGATGCAAATGCATTTTGGCTAACAATCAACACAACGACACGCTATTAAAACTGGACAAAAATTACAAAAAATATAAAATAAAAGTAAAATGAATGCATGCAAGGGAAACGAATAGTGAATGTCAAACCCATATCACATACTTGAGAGTGTGTGAGTGGGGGAGAGAGAGGATGTGAATGGGGAGAGAGTGTTTGAGTTAGTTGGGAGTGGGAAGAGAGTGTGTGAGTGGGGGGAGGGTGTAAGTGAAGGAGAAAGAAAGTGGGGAGACAGAGAGATCGAGAGGGGAGAGAGTGCGAGTGAGAAAGCAAGTGGAGATAGAGAGAGTGGGGAGAAAGAGAGAGGGAGAGA